ATAGCAGGGGTAGGGCTGCCAAATTCCCCCAAGGGGTGGATTTCCCCCCGCTTTGGAGGCCCAATTTCCACCCCCGCGGAATTGGGCCCTGGGGGAAACCCCACCCCCGTGTGCACGTCACAGGGAAGTTACGTCATAACGCCGGGCACGCTGGGGGCGGGGCACAGCCATTTGAGGGGAAAACATAGAGTTTTCCCCTCAAATAGCTGTGCCCCGCCCCAGCGTGCCCGGCATCATAACGTCACTTCCCTGTGACGTGTATATGGTGCGCACACCGGGAGCCAGCACAAAGTCCCCCGCCGGCAGAGGTAAGTCAATTTGGCAACCCTAAGCAGGGGCCTCTCCACACTTCTTGAACCAGTGCTCTATGGAAGAGGAATGGGCCTGTGCTATGGCAAAATGGTCAGAAACCATTTTGAATGTGGAGAAATCCCAAAGGGCAACATTCTCTCCCGATTCTGTTCCCCCCCCCCCAAGATTTGTAGATTGTGATCTGGGAGGCTGTATGTTCCCTCTTTAGAATCATTGCTCTGACAATTCAGAAATATTTTAATTATTTATTCCAGTAGATGTATCCCACCTTGTGTCTTGGCTCAAGGCAGCATATAAATCACAACTAAAACTTGACAGACTAAAACCAACAAATACCTTCTTCCTAGGGTTGCCAAACTATAAGTGGGATTTGAAGTTCTCCTGGAATTGTATCTCCAAACTAGAGATCAGTTCCTTGGAGAAAATAGCAGCCCTGGAGGGTGGGCTCTATAGCATCACATCCCTGCTGAGCTTCCCAGACTCTTTCTTCTTTACACACTGCTCCCCAGTTTCCAGGAATTTCTCATCCTGGAGCTGGCAACCCTAAATGATGCTGGCTGTTCATACTCTGTCAAAGGTTCTGGCAAACGTGAACTTTGCAGCACCTCCTGAGGATCTCCAACAAGAGGACTCCTCCATTAATTTCTTCAGGGAGTCCATTCCACAGTGTGGGAACCACGATGGAAATGGTGTGAGTTCAGGTTGATAACATGTGGGCCACCCTGAGTGGGGGAACAGCTAGCGGGTGACGGCCTGAGGACTGAAGCTGGTGCATGGGAATATATGGGAGGAGACAGTCCCGCAGATATGTGGGCCCTGGAATGTAAGTACCATTTTATCCTATCATACGGGGTATGGTTGGACTGTATATGGTAACAGCAATCTTGCTAAAGCTAAGCAGGTCATGGTCTGATCTGTGCTTGGCTGAGAGATTTTCTGGGAGCCTTATGGTACCTTGAGTTCCATTACAGAACAAAGGCAGAATCTGAATGCAGTGAATAAGTAAATATAGTTCAGGTGTGGGCTGAGCGGAGTCTTAGGTGGGAAACGTTAACGGTTGTATAATGTTCCCTACCAGTGTGTGGTGCTGTTGTACATCTGAGTGTTTGGTTTCTAGTTGTTCTGAATTCTGAAGGGATTTGACTCTAAATGTTGTAACTGTTTTAACTGGAGGCTGCACTGAAGACATCTTGGAAACCTTTAATTAAAGTTGGTTCCTTAAATAAGTGTTACAATGCCCTTTTTTGTCATTCAAATCCTTCAGTCTTCTACCTTGCTTTGAATGTACAAAGCAAGACTAGGTAGTTTGGATGCAAGCACAGTTCAGGCATAATTAACTTGTGTTAAGTCATTTGGTCCCAGTTATCAGGAAGAATGAGACACTTGTATTTTAAACACCATATTTACTTGAAAGGAAGATGACCCTGGATGTATGGTGACCCCCTTAAAAATGTTATACATTAAAAAACAATGGACATAACTGTAACTTGTATGCAAATGTAGGCTGCCCTCTGCCCTTTTTGATAGCATACCAGTGAAAGAAAAATCTAGTATCTCTTGTATCTGAGTGAATATTGTAGGCAAATTAAGTGGTTGACCTAATTATGGTCTCTTTCTTTGGAATATAAGAAGAGCTTTGCTGGACCAGATCAAGAACTACCATATTCAGCATTCTTTGGAAGAATTTCAGGCACTTGTTGATCCATCAAAAATTAGTTAGTGGTTTATTAGCAGACTATAGCTTTCCTTCTGTCCACATCATGTGTTGTTGTTCAGCCATCATTTCTAGTTATATTTGGTGACTGATGAGGCCTGTGAGTTCATCCCTTCATTCTGAGAGAACTTTATAGGCTGACAGCCTCATTAGTGGCTTCATTACGATTAACATGTCACACTTACGAATGCAATTACTTTCTGAGAGCAAGATAGTTTAGAGAAGATTTAATATACTGAAGTGTTTTTAAAAAATAGTTTAAATGGAACAGAAGACAGAAACTGATAGTTCCAAAGTCTTTGTGTTATTATTTGGAGGGGTGTGTGTGTGGAATTTTATACTCTTACTCTTCTTCCTCCCACCTTGCTTAAAAAGAGTCTTTCTTTTAAAAAAAATATGTAAAATATTCTTTAATTTTTAGTCCATGCAGAAAACGTGCTATCATTTCTCTTCAGTTTCATAAATAGTGTGCCTTTATAATTCTAATTTTTGTATTGCTCTTTAGTTTAAGAATGCTGCCATCAAGTGGTATTTCTATGTATAAAACAGACTGTATTATTTTATCCAGTTTAACAGGTGTAATTCATAGAAGATTCTATAGAGGAAATAGCAATCTAAAAGTCTTAGCAATATTTTGGAAAACTGTCTTTTAACGTGCTTCCTGCTGTGTAAAGGATTTATTTCCTCAGCAACTCCATCCTCCAGAATAAATAAGAAATGTAGAGTACCTTAAAAATGAAATAAAGACAGCCAGAGCTTGCATAATATTACAAAAACAAAAATTAGTCTCTCCTCCCTTGGCAATGGAGAAGAGAATCCTAACTTACTAAAATATAAATGGATTGGAACTATAACTGGAGATATATCCGGAAATACCTGTGAAGTATGATCAACCTGAAAACATCACCCTAACTGGTCCCTAGCAATATCCATGTTTTGCTGTCATTAATTGAGTTTACTACATATAAATCAAGTTTGACAGCAAATCATTGATGAGATCCAGCCAATTTCTCCCATATCTCCATCTTCCTACAGTCCCCATCTCACATGGATTTTAACAAGGCAGGTTCCATGAAGCTTTTTTTTGTGTGTGTCCAAAGAGGATCCTCTCTTTTCTTTTCTCATCTGCTGACTGAATCCAACCCCATGTTTTAGTGCTTTCTTTTCATATTAGTGTTCAACAAATGTGCAGGTGTTAATTGTTGTTGTTGAAAATTCAGATGTTTTTTCTGACATTCCTGTTTTTTTTTCTGCTATGTGTAAACAGTATATTCCAGTACTGCATAACTTCTGATCCACCAAGCTCTATGCAGCTCTAGAGCTAAACATGACAACTCTCCTGGGACTCAATAACCTTTGGCTATTAATGGCTTGGGGCTCCAAAAAAAGGAAAGAGTTTGTCTAGCTAGGCAGGCCACATTACACAGCCAGTGAACTATATCTGATCAAGAGATCACAAGGGTTTGGGTTTGTTTGAATTTTCAGATGGGACTTGTCTGTTGGTGGGATCATCACAAGTTGTACATGTCTTGACTCCTTTGAATGCAAAACAATACATCTCTAGGGAAAATGCATTTTTTCTTAATTAATATATCTTTTGGAGATAGTGCGGAGTGGAATGAAACATGATTATTTAAAGTTGGTGGGCAGCAGAGACATAGTGCCCATGTCTTCGGTGTTGAGGAGTGACAAAATGCATCAGCTATTCCACAACTTTTTAAGTACGAGGAGGAGGAGGTTTTTATATCCTGCTTTTTCTCTATCCTAAGGTGTGTCAATGCGGCTTAAAATTGCATCCCTTCCTTTCCACACAATAGTCACCTTGTGAGGTAGGTGAGGCTTACAGAGTTACTCCTTTGAATGCAAAACAATACATCTAGGGAAAATGCATTTTTTCTTAATTAATATATCTTTTGGAGATAGTGCTGAGTGGAATGAAACATGATTATTTAAAGTTGGTGGGCAGCAGAGAGATAGTGCCCATGTCTTCAGTGTTGAGGAGTGACAAAATGCATAACATGTTCCACAACTGTTTAAGTACGAGGAGGAGGAGGTTTTTGTATCCTGCTTTTCCTCTATCCTAAGATGTGTCAACGCAGCTTAAAATTGCATCCCTTCCTTTCCACACAATAGTCACCTTGTGAGGTAGGTGAGGCTTACAGAGTTCTGAGAGAACTGTGACTGGCCCAAGGTCACCCAAGCAGGCTTCATGCGGAGGAGTGGGAAATCAAACCTGTTTGTCCAGACTGCAGTCTACCGCTGTCAACCACTACACCATGCTGGCTGGCTCTGCAGTTAGTTATGTCTACTTTTTAGTTTTCAGGGTATGAGCAACTTCACACTGGACCACTCAAATGCAGGAGTTCTCTTGATGTCCTTTAAATAAAAAGTTCATACCAGTATCCTACCTGACCAGCTCCTTGGGATGTGTGACTATGTGCCCCTCAAGAAATTGGCTGGTGTTATAAAAAGCAATATTTTCTTAAAATAATCTTAATGTTTTGACTAAGCAGGGATCGCCAAATTCACTCGGTTACTTTAGGCAGAATCCACTTGCAGTTTCATTAGCTTCTTTCACGTTTACCTTCCTGTAACAAGAGTATTCTCCCATCCAGCCCTTTCCCACAGATCGTGTGGGCTGGCAACTAGTCTACCGCTAATGACACTAGCATAACACTAAGCATAAAATGTGAGTTTCTTTTGTTTGGATTTAGGTGGTATTATCAGTCTATTGGACAAGGAAGCTGGGCAAACAAATGCAACCTGAAGGGAAAGCATGCATTTTAAAAGACACAAATAACATCCATTTCATGTTGATGTATATAATACCTTTGTTTTGTGTTTATCAGGTTATGAATAAATTTATGTCTAAAAGTAATTCCATCTTTACTCTTACACAAAAACTAGATGCATGAGAATGTTTATGATTTTTGCATTTACGATGCATGTGTAAAATTATTCCTTTCTCCAAAAGGGTTGCATTGTTGGATTCGACATGGCTCATGCTGTTGGTAACATTGAACTGTATCTGCATGACTGGGGAGTAGACTTTGCCTGCTGGTGTTCGTACAAGGTAAGAATATTTGTAGCATTCCAAAGCATGTGCAATAACTACATTGCAGAGGATTCTGTGGAAATGTACTCAGAGTTAAAGACTTTTTTGAGGTTGTTAAAAGTATAACAGATCTGTTCAGTAACCATTTTATAGAAGCCACTTTTCTGCATAATAAGATGTCTTCTAAGTTTCATTCATCATAGAGACATTCAGGAAGGAGGGCACAGAAGCCTTCTGTGCCCTCCTTCCTGAATGTCTCTTTAGAATATTTCATTGCAACTGTAGGATATAGCACTAAAACATATGATCTTCGCTATCATACTCGTTGATGAATGAAACTTAGAGGACATCTTACTGTTCCATGAGGTCCTATGCAGATGAAGCCAGTCAAAAGGAACTTGTATTCTAGAAAACTTCATCAACCTGCACTTTTTCGGACTTCCCTTCCTTCTTCTTTGTATCATTGTCATTTATACATGGTTTGATATCAGCACTATAAAGTTTTTTCCATGTTTTTTGAGCACTGGTTTTGTATAGCGCTTGCATACAGCTTGCTTTTTCTTTTGCATTTGGTCCAGTGAATACCTGCCATGAGGTTTGTCAGTTATAACCTGAACCCAAAGTTTTGCACCAATAGCCACTTTCCCCATGAGCATCCAGATAAATTTAGGGCAACACAAGCTCTTTCCACTTTGTGGATAGCTCTCCCAATGTCTTCTACTTGATACGTAAACCTAAGATACTGGACCCCTCCTTTCCATGACAGGTGAAAAATTATTTTATTGTGTGCTTTTCTTTACTTCCTTTTCAGGCCTTAGTCTTTGAATCTGTACTTTATTGGGGTAAATAAAGAATTTTGCAGGTTGAGTACTTTGTCTTCCTTGTATTTCTTTCTATATCTTCAGTTACCGGGTCTGTTCTGGAAGTTGTGTATACATTGAACTGGGATGGTTCTAATTGGATGCTGGTACTTGTGCACAGTTTGCACATGTGTAAGAGATATTCTGAAATGACAGACCCAGGTCAGAGAATGAATTGGGTAACAGCCCGATAAATATAACTAAGGAAAAGCATTTCAGTTAATTAGGTATTGTGGTTAATTACCTCCAAATGATATTAAAGGTTCTGCAGTGGAGAAGAGTTCCACTAATCTGGAACAGCCACTAAAGAAAATACTTTGCCAATATTGCACAAATCTATACAGTGTAAAAAATAAAGCTGGTTTTAAGGTTGCATCATAGCCACTGACATTATAGTCCGTCTGTCTACCCAGAATGAAATCAATATGTTTAAATGTTAATTTCTATTTTACAGTATCTAAACTCTGGAGCAGGTGGTCTAGCTGGTGCCTACATTCATGAGAAACATTCTCAGACAGTAGAACCTGTGTAAGTATATTTTATTTTTTACTGAAAGATCCAGTCTGATATTGAAAAGTTTTTCATTGGTTTGTTATTACAAATGTTGTTATAGAGAAATATGGAGTTAAGAAGTAGAGAAACCAAAACCCAAAAAGTTAATAGCAAGGATATCATCTTCACTGTTAATTTTGTCAAAATAGCAGTATTTTTTAAAAAATAACTGAAATGTTTTAGACAGTTAATTCAGAGCTATTAGTCGGTGTAAATTCAGAAGGTAATCATAACAATGTTTAATAGGGATGGGCACAAATTTTGACTGGTTTGTGGTTTGCAAAGTGATGTTTGTGGAAGAGCAACCAGCATGAACATTTCACAAACTTTCATGTTGTTTGTGGTTGTTCATGGTGGCTTGTGAATGGATAAATTTCTTGACAGACTATCTCCTCTCAATCAAAAGTTCAAAGTAACATGGAGGTTGCAATTCTCCAACCTTGGAAACACCAATAAGAACTCTCCAAAACTTAACAGGCATTGTTGGCTCCCAATAACAAACATCCCATTCTGCTTTATGGGATCAGAATGCTATATATCAGCTCAGCTCTGCAGCTTCTGCTTTGTTCTTTGTTGACTGTTAGCAATTAGAGAGGTAGGGAACTTGTTAAAAGTAGAGCACATTCATTTATTCCTGATTGGGAACACCTCTCCCCTGCTGGGGCTTGGGTGTTAGGTGGACTCAGGGTTCTGAGCCACCCCATCTCTCTGCTTAGCTACTGGGCACCTCACCTGAGGACCCACATTTATACCTCCCACCCCTCCTGACTTTGAACACCTTCATGTGCCATGAGGGTGAATGTGGGTGCAAAGGGTACTTGTTGTGGGGGAAGAAGTCCTCCACCTCTTGCATCTGAGCAGTACTAACATCTCTTTTGCCTCTGTGGAGAGTGCCACACCCAACCCTTTACCAGTGAAATTCCCCCACTGAGAAAACTTCTGGGGACCCCCCCCCTTACCCTCCAAAGAAAATCTGCCTCATAATACAGCACCTACTTCATAGAAAAACAGCCACCTCAGCAAACATCTACCTCAATAAACATCTGCCTGTACAAGCAAGCCCCTGTTTGACTACCCCTTTTCACTGCCTTTGTACAATTCACAACAGGTGATTTCTTATCTGTACAATGTGTTCCACTGATGGTGAATAATCAAAAATTTCACCTAGGGGTGGGCTGTGACCAGAAGATCTATGTGTTTGTGCCTGAGGGGGCCTGAGAGCACTGGCAGCATGACTTGATGGATTTTTTAAATTATTATTATTCTATTTATTCAATTTATACCCCACCCTCCCCACTGAAACAGACTCAGGGTGGCTTACATAAAAGGTTAAAACAGTTAAAAACACAAAACATTCATAGGACATTTATAAGGTACTAATTAAACATACAGGATGGCAAAACACAGTTTTGTTATTAGCCATAGTGGGCAACAATCAGCAGTAATTATAGGACTGTTGTCCAAGTCCCATAATATATTTCAGTTGTACTGGTGCAGCACAGGCCGCCAATAGTGCTTTCTAGGGCATAGGGCCTTAACCTCTGTTGAACTATTAGGTGTGGCTCCTCAGTCAAATGCCTGGTGGAAGAGCTCCATCTTGCAGGCCCTGCGAAATTGCATTGCTTGCCAGGGGTCTCTGCTAGGAATGGGCACTAACTGGCTTACGGACTAAAGTTCATGATGAACTTTGGCCAGCTCATGGTTTGTAACACATTGTGGAAGTATGCCTATCATGAAAATTTCACGAACTTCGTGGTGGTTCATTGCAGTTTGTGGTGGTTCATGAAATGGATATATTTCCCAGATAACCCAGTGTCAATTAATTAAAATCCACGGCAATGGTGGGGATGGATTTCTCCAGCCTTGAAAACACCAATAGGGAGCCTCCAAAGCTTGACAGGCATTGTTAATAACAGAGCTCCCATTCGGCTCTATGGGATCTGAAAACTATATAAAGCCCAAACTGAAGCCCAGCCTTCCTTTGTTGGGTTTTGCCAGGCGCTAGAGAGAAATAATCCAGATAGAAATTAATCAACTTTGCTGAGCAAGGGATTGTTCTTTGCTTTTTGCATTGGTGGACTCAGGGCTTTGAGCCATCCAGTCTCTCTGCTAATGCTGAACAGTGGGGCTTGGCTGCTGGGGTTTGGGTGTTTGGTGGGCAAGGGCTCTGTGTGCCACCCAGTAGATGTATTTGCCACAGTGGATGGGTGCACTCTGGACCCAGGTGCAGAGTTAAATAGAACACCCCCATTGGTGGGTGTCTGTTTCTGTCCTAGCTAGTGGGTGTTTCAGCTGAGTACCCACAACCATTACACCCTCCTTACTGCTGTAGAGGTACTTTGAGGCTCGTGCACTATCAGCAAAGCCGATTGAGCGCACGGGCCATTTTGCCGCCGGGAGGAAATTGACAGACAGCTGCGCTGAGACGCAGCGTGACTCGGCACCAAGGGGGCGGGGCCAGCATTTATAGGCTTGGCCCCATTCCCCTCCTTGTCAGTTGCACCTCGTGCTCAGCCCACTCGCCCTGTGTTCTGTTCTGTTCATGAAAAAAGGCAGTTTCTGTCAGAGCTCTCTCAGCCCCCCCCACCTCACAGGGTGTCTGTTGTGGGGAGGGAAAGGAGTTTGTAAGCCGTTCTGAGACTCCTTTGGGTAGTGAAGTGTGGGGAGTCTTTTTTGCAGTGGCCTCCTTCTCCCCCTCCACCTCTCCCTGCTGAGAGGGCAGTGGGATTATTTTCTTCCTGCTTGATGCCACTCCAGCAGCAACAGAGTTGGGTGCACCCTTTGCAGGTGCACACAGGGGACAAGACTTGGGGGGTTGTGCCCCTCTGAGAGGCACAGCTGCTTTCTGGTGCCATGCTGGGAGGGGACACAGAGGTATGTATTTGAAGTGGGAGCACTAACAGGGAGTTGGGATGTGAAAGGGGAGAATGCTTCCCCTCCCCACCCTCTGAATCACTGCTGTCAGAGGTGTCTTAGGGCAGTGCCTAAAACTCTTTTGCCTCTGTGGAGAGCCCCAGGAACAGATATGGGGAAGGAGGCTTTTACTGAGTCAGCCTCCATTGGCCCGGCAGGATGGATTTGGTGCCTGGGGACCAGGGGCCTGTGGCATGGGGTGATGGTGGAGTATTCTTCTTTGCACCCTTTGCACCCACCTTCATCCTTAGGGCACACAGAGGGGTTCACAGTCAGGAGGGATGGGCAGATAGACTGCTTGGGGGGGGTTGGTAACTGGGATGTAATCTGCCCCCCCCGGCTCTGAGAGATTGCAGAGAAACAGGCAGCAAGGTGAGGTTCGCTGTACGTTTGGTGTGTGTGACTTGCACAAGGTCTGTTCTATACACTCCTGAAACTATGCCTGACGTTTCCCCAAAAGCACTTTCCTGGGGGCACCTCTTTGGGAGGTCATAACTCAGACCCCCCCAAGTTTTTAAATGGTTTAAAAGGTTTGGACAGTAGTTTTATTTATTTCCTTTATATTTTATGTAACTTATAAGTTTTTATGTTACTAAGGGTTTTTTTCTGGCTCATAACCAGCCAAGATACTTTCGGGATTTTTTCTATTTGAATTTCAAATTGATATGTACTGGTCAATGACTGTAATAATAAACTGACAGACTGACCCCCCAAGTCCAATCTGCACATAACTTGGAAGGCATGTAGAGGAGCATTGGGGAGAGGTCCCCTGGGAATTTGATGACTATAGCTTGCACAGGGACCGTTCTATATATTCCTAGGCCTCCTGAATCTGTGCCTGTCATTTCCCTAAAAAGCACTTTTCTGGGGCCACCTTCTTTGGGGGGCTGTAAATCAGACTCCATAAACCTCACCAATCTTGGAGGGCAGGTAGAGTAGATTCATCTGGAGATCCACTGTGAGTTTGATGTCTTTAGCATGCTGGCGAGGGATTCTACCTCATCACAAACCACAGGAAAAGAACCATTATTTTTTGGTGCACCTAAACGTTCATGATGGTTTGTGGCTCATGAACCACAAACTGAACCACATTTTCCTGGTTTGTGCCCATCCCTAATCAGAGAATTAGGTGACCCAGATTAGGTGACCCAGAGAAAGTCATCATCTTTCTTTCACTTCCTGGTAAATAAACCTAATGTTTTTGCTTTTCAGTCTAACAGCAAGTTACTGAGGAAAGGTACTAGATTGTTTCTCAGTGCCTTTCTACTAGCTACTCACAATTTAATTGTATGGTTTTGATTACTATTTGTTGCTTTATTTTTGGCATGTCTTACTAAGATCATCCATAGCCTAGGTGCCTGTCACAGTAAAACTGCATGTTAGCCTTTGTGTGATACTCCTGCAAATCCATTAAAGAAAACCACCTTGGTGGGTCATATAAGGGCAGAAAGGCGGAAAATAAATTTTGTAAATTAATAAAATAAATAAATGGTAGCACAGTGTCCTGTCTGCATGTACTCGATAAAGAAATACCTTTGTATTGAAGAGGAATGGTCAGAGTGCTGTTATCCTTTTTTTTTTTTTTAGAAAAATCTAGCTAAAGACTACATGTATGTATCCAAACATATTTTAAAACAACAACAAAGGGTTTGTAAAGTGTTGAGATTTAATAATGGATTAACCTTGCTACTGTTCACCACTTGAAAATGCTATCGCTCCATTGCAGGTATAATACAGGGTAGCATAGTTAAGCCACATTAGGAGTGCTTGTTTGTACTGTGTGATCAATATATACTTCATATCCATAAGTAGATCAAGGACCTTCCATAGAGATGTTGACTAAGATTGTAATTACCTGGTTCAGATTATGTTTAGGTGACTTGTAAGGCTTGCTTTGAATATAAAATGAGCCTAATGGTCTCAAGAGGACTTCTTCAGCTTGGATTGTAATCTGATATGAAGAAGAATTGTTCCATCTGCCTCTCCTTCCAGCTTGCTAATGCCTAATAGTGTAAGCAGCAGGTAATCACCCCGGGGTTATTTTCATGATACTTTCGTCTCTG